AAACCCACGATAGGACACATGACGATCTTGCAATATCAGTTCACTGCCACAGCATCAATGGTTTTGCGGAACAACAGACCTGCTTATGGACGAACCTCGCGAAACACTAGTTTCCCTTGAATGGAACTTCAAATCGCCAAAAAATTGAATTAAGTTTATCCATATAGGCACGTTGGCTGAAGTTAGTCCACGTCGGGTTAGAAAAAATAATCGGCACGAAATTTGTTCAACGATTTAATTCTTTTTTGGGCCAAGATGAATCTTTTAAGTTACTGTAAACAACACAAATAGCGCTCGTATGTCAAAACTTTCTGAGTACGTATAACCTCAAAACATCCAACTTTACGATATAGCCGTCAGTTGCCAGATTGCAACACCAGGGTTGCCAAATCCCGAAACATAAAAGGGAACCTTCGTATTAGTATATTCTTTCACCAATCCGCGAACCTTAAATGAAATTAACCCAATGATTATTCTCGCTGATTCTCTGTAATAAATGATCGATGAAATGAAATATGAGAGAAAAATTGAAAACCGTTAGTACGATAATTTATTATCGTTTTTTTAATTAGTAATGGAGTTAGTAATTTAGAAAGAAATTAGTTAATATAATCTTTCACGCGGTGTTTTCATATAATATGGCAGTTTCATAAGTTATTCCGTAAATTTCGTTGTTGGACGGCGACATGGATGGGAGAGGGATAAGATAAAGATGCTTTATTTACTTAACGTTAATGTTACAATGTCTCTACATTCAATAACATGTTACATTTAACTCTATTAAAGTCGGAAAGAAAATTCAGAAATGCTTGAGATGGGCATTACGTATTGATGCCGTGGCTTTGTAGGCAATCAAAGGGTAGTATATTGGATGGCCTGAAGTTCTGGAATTTCAATTTAGATGTAAAATTATTCTTGCTTGTCTGTATTACTACTTAAATATTTGCAGATATTCACCGCAAGCGCTTCATTTGAATTTGTTTGGACTTTTTCAAGTGATGTCTAAAGCGAGGGCAGAAATAGCAAAACCGCAAACTGAAACCGCAAAACTAGATTACGCAAACTGAAATTATGATATTATTTTCGCACGGTGTATTTTCTCTGTGTTCGTGAATGTATTTTCACGTGTGTTTATTTTAAATCTTAAACCAAGGTAAAAAGTAAGTTTAGGGTGATTTGGAAGACTCGTTTCTTCTACGATGGCTCGTTTGTCGTTTCCTCATCTCTACTAGTAAGGACTACATCTCTTCCTACAAATTCGATGAATTTGAAATGCAATATCACATGTCACCACTCGAACGAGTTCGTGTGGTCTGCTAAGACCGAAGGCGTGGCCCTCTGTCTGACGGTCCCGCCTTTACGTTGCCGCATTGATTGATTAGTGATTTAGGGCGCGCCAACGGCTAAGGCCATTATTCCCGTAAGTGTAGTGGATGTTTTTCCCGCGAGTTCTTCCCCTGCTGAATGGCAAAATTCAGCGCGAACCTGCGTCGGCTTACGGAGATTTTTCCGAACCAGCGTGGCACCGCCACTGGCGGGACAAGCTCTAACACTAAGCTCCCGACTGATTTCCTGACATGTGATATTGTAATGAATGTGAATGTGAGTGTGGGTGTGTGTAAGTAAGGGGGAGTAAAGGACAAGGAAGAAGAACGAAAGATCGTCCGCGGTCCTTGGCCTGTTTGTAAGGGTATTGCTCCGGCATTCACCCTGTGTTGATCGGTGAAACCACGAAAAACTTCCGAGCAGAGCAGCCGACCGCTAGAATTCTTCTCCAGACAGCGAATGAACTCGACCTAGATGATATGCTACTGTCGAAAATCTTGCCACCGACGGAACTCGACCCCTAGGGCCTCCCTGTCAGAGGCTCTGCAGTGGCATCAGCGGATGCCCTGAGCCACCTAAGCCGGTTTTTCGTTTCCCGAGGATCTCGTGGACCCCACTCTCGTTCAGCCTTTCTCGCTTACGAGAACAAGGGGAAAGAGGCGGCAAATGAACGCCTGTAACCGAAGTGTAAACAATAGATTTGCGATGCCAAGCAATAGTACTCAGAAGCTGAGATCAGTCAGGGATTAGAATTAGTAGAGGACAATATGTGGGCATTTTACCATGCAGAAAAATACTGTTCACAAATTATTTCCACTTTCTCCTACAGTACTGCGCTAAGCATTACAGTCTGGAAGCAGGCAGTTTCGTATTACAACGTAGAGACTGCGGTGGGTATTTTCGCAAGGTGGACTCATATGTTTTCCCCCCAAAAAGCGGGCTGCAGTAGGGAAGGTTCGACTCGTGCAGCGGCGTACTTCGCAATTCTATACTCTGATTTAATGATAGTGACTTCTGACGTTTAATCAGCTGGACCCGGTTATCCGAATGGGAGTTTCGTTACAAATTAACTTTTGGTACTGTAATTTACGCGTCTCGGTTGATCAAACTCTGAAGCCACTACAATTCAATCGAAGAAGAAATGTTTCATTCAGTACATGTTTTGTTAGAATAAATGTGAAAAACTTGGTGGGCACGTAGGGGGGGGGGCAAGGAAATGATTTTTCTCCAATGAACATGTGGTGGGAAATTTCATATAACGAAGTTACACATGTTCATTGGGACACATTTGCCTTGCACAAAAGGCAACCCATAATGCTTCAGCATTTGGCGGGTATACGAAATATCTTTGACTGCTTCAAAACGCGGCCTGCCAAGCACCTGCGATTGGTGGGTTGCCTACTAATTAGGGGCAAGTGTCACGAATTTGTTGAGAAAGGAGTTTTTAGAAGAAAACATCTTAAGAAACAAGACTTGGGATTTTCCTTTTCCCCGAGTGATCCCACTTGTCTCAACTTGTCTCCATCTGGCCCACTATCTGTCCTCTATCTGTCCCTCTAAAGCTCGTTCCCCATGGACACATGAAACCTGATATTAAGGACTTACGACACACCATTTCCGATTTATTCGGATTATGCGATTATAGTATTATTGCAGTAGTATGCTCCTATGTAATAATCTACAAACGTCTTCGTCTGAAGGATGTTTCATGTTAAGGGGAACACGGACTATTAGAAAAAGAAAGAAAAAAAATCTCAATTTGCGCCATTTTATTCCATCTTCTCCTGAACATGCTGATATATAGTTTATGCATGTTTTACTAGGTTTTAGTCCCTAAAAAATATGTAATGGAACCATGCAATAGTCATGGCATTTAAAGAGTGGACGTATGACTTGGAGGAATGAAGAACGGAAAAAAATATAGTTTATTAGATGTTTGCAAAGTTCGAGATGATGCTTACAATCCTTGACTGCATTTTTAGTGTACGTCCAGCGTGTTTCCTTTGTTTAATCTAAATAAAACGCCTATTGATTTGAATAAGAATAAAAATAATTGCTTTCTTTTTGTTATGCTGTAAGTAGTTGTAAAGAAATAATTCGAAATCTGAAAACAAATTCCTCGCCCCAACAGACTAAAGCGAAAACTGCCCCGACAGTTCTTCGACCCCCACTGACCATCATGTACCCGATCTGGTTTCGCACACATTCAATCCACGTGTACTCAAGTATTCATCTATAAATGATAGCTAAACAATGCTAATATAATTCAATGCTACCCTCGAGTATCGTACTCGACTGCTTAAGGCCTTCGGGTCAAGCAGAAATAAATGAAAACCAATTATTGTATTGAATAAGAATAGAAGTAAAGTATTGTTGTGTAAATAAAAAGCCTATTGTAGTGATGAAATAATTAGGAATTTTTGTTGGAAGAAATACTATATTTATCCTCCAATGCATTGCCAAACGTGCAAGCAACAGCGAAAAAAAGAAAAATTGCTTTAGTAGCATTTAAATAACTTCCTTTCAATCCCCATCTCACACACAGTACGAGCCATACGCCTTTGAGACAGATTATTAAATAGAATTTTACATCATGTGAAAATGTTTCATTTTAGAAAATCTCATGCCGTACTTTCTGATGGGAACACAAACATTTATTTTATCTTCCAAAAAAGTAATTTTTGGGATTTTTTTTCTTTTTGATATGTAAAACAAACTGTTGTAAGGTAAAATCTGAAATTTTACTTTTTCACGTATCAACAGTTAGAATTTATAAAAATTATAGTGTTTCGAGTATATACTAACTTTTTCTAAATAAAAACAAAACACGTTCTTTTATAAGTTCTGTCTCTCATCAAGATCCGATATATAAAGTGTTACGTTAACTTCCATTGTTTTTAGGAGGTCTTACTATATTTTCATGGGTCTGAAAGAAATTACGAACGAAAACATTAGAAGAATGCGTTAGATCGATAATTGAAAAAGTGAAAGAGTTTCCGACCAAATTTCCGTTTAGTGTGAAGTTAGAAATGTTATCAATGGTTGTGTGAATTTACTAAGTAGTGTGAAATGTTTTATACTTTCGAAATTTACGATTGGATATTATTGGAGATACCGAAATACCGTAAGTACGTACGTTAATGTTCAGAGTCAGATTTTATGATTGGTACATCGCCAGATGTTTCTTGCTGGTTTTCTTAATCATTAATTTGCATCAATGTTCTTTCGATCTAATGAATTATACCGCGCAAATTGTGAGTTAATAATAATTTAATTGAAAATTTTACCCTGGTTAAATCCTGGCATTACTTCGTACGTCGATACATTATACCCCAGTCGTTTCAGCAGTACCACTAGAGTGCTCTGAATGTAATCCAGGGCACGACAACTTGGATACCTCTGCAGAAGCATGAACTAACAGCCAAACGTATTTTACCATTATGACATTAAATTACGTTATATTGTTAGATAACTTAAATCAAAATTTTGTCTGAAATTAAAATTCTGAGAAAAATGTTTGAAAAACAAATTTATTAACTATTTATTACTTTTTTAACAATGTATTCACTTCTTTTCCCGGTGTATGCAACACTTGTACTTCAGACCATTTCAGATTAACAGCATTCGTTCTTCTCAGGGGCATTAATTTTGACTTTACAGTACAATAATCCACTAATTGGACAAGCGTGGTCACGGTGGTCACAATGTATTATTGGAATTTATTGACGTAATGTTGGCTAACATGGTTCGTATTTCGGCCCGTTCAATGTCATATGTTGGTGTCCATGATCTAAGCTTCAAAATAACCAACATGAGAAATGTTGGTTTTTGAATCAAGTTCTTTCATGTAATAAATATTTATATATAAGTACTTATGTAGGCTATTGCTTGTACATCGCAACTTTACACAGTGCAGCAATATTTATAGTGAAATTTGTATATATTTTTTTACTTATCCAGTGAGTGTTTTATTACATTTTCGACATCGATGTCCGTACCAAAGCGTTTGAGAAAAAGTGCACTATCAGTATTTCATTGAACGGTATTGCAGAGTATAAAATGAAATTGAAATTGTTCGCTAGGAAAAGTGCTTATTGTGTAAAATGGTAATTGAACTTTTGTTAACCGCTTATTGATAACTATGCTGTGTGACATGCATTGATTATGGCAAATTGTATAATAATTGAATTTCATGTGCGGGGTTCAATTAGGTGAGAATTGCTAAAAGCAGTTGCAATACAACGAGGTTTGTCGTCCTGGATTTCTATACCAACGAATTTAGAGCAGACAAAGTAGCTAATACTTTAGCAACTGATGGATGCAGTGAAACATGAGATGGAATGTGACTCTGACATTGTGATGGCTTCATCAATGGTTGTGACTGAATCCAGTACCTTTTCTTCATCTCCTTCATGCAGCACAATCCCAACCCCAGAGCCAGATGCCAGTCAAGAGACAATGGTTGAAGGGGTATGTCGGTTTGTGAAACTAGATTTGTTTTGAAAGTAGAGTTTTTATACATTTTCTGTGTATCATGCATTCTTAAAAACATGTATGATTGCATTTTGGAAGTTGCTTAGATTTGGTATATGGAGCATGTGAGTAATGTGATGAAAATGCATTTCATTGATTTTCTACTTCTGTGGCGAATCAATTCTTCAGTGAATTCTAATTTGTGTGTTTTAATACAGTGTTTGCATGATAATGTTATATTTGAACTAATTCTGAAAATTTCTTATTGTTATAGTAGTCTTGATGGCAGTGCCTTTCAGAATGTTAATAGTGTTTGATAATTTGTGTTGCAATAATGGATATGATGATGCTGCGCATCATTTTTGCTTGCAAATGTTTTATATTAACAGCTCTTCATCTGGAAAAGTGATCTTGGTAGTTATTGATCTTGACCTAATTTCCAAGTTGTGAAAGATCTGTGACCTCATTTAAAATTATTTCTATACAAAACTGTCTAGATTGAGGCACTTTGCAAAGAATGTGTGTTTTAACTTCGAAAGTACTGTTTTAGATGTTTTTCCTCTAGGGAAATGGCTATTAGTTTGTGTAATCAATATAAGAATGTACTATTGTCAGTTTTCACAGTTTATGAATGGTTTTGCTATAATATTTATAGCCTGTTGTAAACTGCAAGGAGAACTTACTGTGTGCAGGTTAAAACATATTAATGGTCATTTTTTTTTATTCTGTGTTCTGTAAAATTAGTGCTTTCCAAATCATCAGCAGTGTTCAGCATATTTGAAGTTTTTAATGGATGTGGTATGTTTACTTGAAAATTAGTTACTTTGTGATGCATTTTTTAATTTCAAATGATTCTTTACTCTTAGTGAATTAGCCATGATTGCTAGCAAATCTTATAGAGCTGAGTTTGCTTAATGTATTTTTTTCTCTGTTTCAGCTGCTTGCTTTTGTCTCTTATTGTAATCTTCATATATTAATGTTTTTGAATGTACTGTGGTCTCTGTCAATTACATAGCAATTTAAAAGTAATGTTTGTGCAAAATTATGTGTTATATGTTAATGCACATGTTAAACACAACATATTTTATAACAAGTGAATACACACTCAGTACCTACTTCATTTAAATAATTTTAGCTGTCACATAATGTATTTTAAACCATACAAAATAAGAATTAACTAAATTCATAACTTTTAAACTAAGCTACTCGACTGCAATAAATAGCTCATTATATAAAACATGTTGCCTGATGTGTAAGGAATAAAGCTGATGGCTATATTACCACAAAAAGCAATGCACAAGTGTGTGTGTGTGTAGGGACGTGTGTTTCTTAAGGAACTTTGTAAGGTCATTTCTAATCTTAAATTGATTGAAATTTGGTGTTTATTGATTTTGTTTCCTACTAATGTGAAATGTTAGGTGTGATTGTACTAACATATGCTTCATGCTACTAATTAGAATTGGTTATATACATATATTACTTTGAAAGGTAGGAGTCATCCATGTAAAGTTATATGTAAGTCAGTCTGTTGTCCAAGGATTATGGAAGTGCTTCGAGAGATGACAGATACAGTAAAACCTCTTACATATGGATTCTGACATTATTTGGACACCTGCCCAACTTTCTTGCAGTCCCTTTTCTCTATATGATGTAGATAATTTGTACTTCTAGCCCTGTTCAGAACATAAGTAGTGTATCTGGTAGCTCTAGCTCTAGCAAGTTGGCATCTCAAGCAGAAAACTCCGCTCCATGTAGCTTGACTTCTGCATTGTGTGAAAGGATAGTGAAGGGATTGTGTTTTGCAGTGGATGAGGAGGGCAACAGCTGTGACATAGTGGATGAACTCTCAAAGAAACCTGAGCTGACTTAAGTTGGCAGTTAGACTGTACCAGAGAACACATAGACATTATCTCTCAGTGGATATTTGCTTTGGAGCTAGATAGCAGTGAAGCATTGTACTACATCAGAGACACTACAAGAACAAAATTACTTTTAAGAAACATAAGAAACACACTGAAGGATTCTTTAACTTACTGATAACATTTCATTCCTAATGCATATTAACTGTTGGTGGACCGGCAAGATTGCAAGGTAATGTACAATTTACTTATTTTAATTAATTGTATTAAAACTAAATTCCACTGTAAATTAAATTCAGTAAAATAACTTGCACATAACATAATAAATTCTGTATATAAAATAAAATATATTAAAAATACACAGGTAGAATAAATTAACACTCCCCTTAATTAACTGAATAAAATCATGCACACTAGCCTGTGCCTCCCCATTAACGGACACACCCATCTAACAGCTGGCAAATAAATTTTGTTCTCCTGAGGTGTCCGTTAAAGAGAGGTTTTACTGTATCACATTGTAGGTGCCAACTTTAGTGATTTGCTCTGGTGAATGATGCTTAGATGAGCTTAGCGAATGCAAAGTACACGTAGAGAAGAAATGAAAAAAAACTATCATAATAGCATCATAGTAATTCGTCTCTCTCTGGCCTGTTTTTAGACTCCCTATGATACAAGATTTGTGAACATTGCCAATCTGGCCAAGAGCAAGCTGTTGAGTTCACAGTTTTCCAGCACCCCCCACATTCCAGGTAGATTGGGAGGCCGATGTTTAGCTGGGGCATCCAAATCTTTAGAGCTCCTTAGGAGGAATATTCAGACCAATATCAATAAAGATATTGATGCTGTTATCAAAGGCTATCTGGAGGTAAGTTTTTATGTATGTTTTTAACTTGCTATTAAAAAAGTATTATTTTTACAGTTATTGTGCTAGAATATTGTTAGAACAGTGTTTGTAATAATGATTGGGAAACTGTAGAGCTTAGTAAATGCAGTTTTATTGATGTATTGTGACTGATCAGTGCTTACTAAATTATTTAATGAATGGTCCTAGTGAAGCCAATATATTTAAGATTTTCAAAATATTTCTAACTAAAGTCTTTATTCATTCCTGTTTTAAATGGAAACCCCGAGATCAGATTTTGTTCTATTATGGCATAGTTTGTGTAAAAGTACACTGTATTACTTAAATTTATTCATTCATACCATTTACTGACTTTACCATACCTTTCCATTCACTTCATTCATACCATTTACTGAATCTTTATCCACCACATTTTTTTTCTTGATTTTTATGTATTTGAGTTTTGGGCCTGTTCTGGGGGTTCAAAGTTACACAGATACACATTACCTCCTTGTGGAGGGCCAAAGTCTGTCTTTAGAATCTTGCCTCTACACACTGAGTGGGTGGTGACACTGGTAGATCACCTTCGTATAGTTACAAATAATATTGAAGGGTAAAAGTAACATATTCATTATTTATAAGGAGGCTCCGGGGTTTTAGGCAGATGTGTATTTTACCTTTCTTGATGTAGACATAGGGAATATTCTAGAATGCATTTCATGACTTTAGTGTAAAGGAACTATTTTTATTGTGCCTAAAAATGCCCCATCTGTTTAGCTAACTCTACTGAGAATTAACTAAAGGAATCGTAGAATGAATATTCATCTGATGTTCTAAAATACTAAAATCTATGTTTAAAAAAACTCTTGGATTATTCATAATTGAATTTAAAAATAATTGATGGATTTCATGCCAAGAAAAAAATATGCACTAGTTACAAGTGGTATTAGAAAGATCTTTATATCCATGTATTTTTATCTTAGAAGCCCATTGAAATACTGCTCAACAAAAATACACTTGAAATTCTTTCCATTTTCAAAATAGCAAAACTACCATAATTTGCAGATGAGAAAAACAAATGACATCAGATTTTGTTTGTTAGCTCCAGTTTTTAAGGTATACTTATTTCAATATACTTGGGAATTCTTTATTTTCTGAAAAGAGCTAAAGTACTCTAATTTTGGGTTGAGAATAATGTTATGTTTAACATAACAGTAAATATTGTTTAGTAGGTCAAACTTTGGCTTTATAGCTTCTCCGTCCTCAAATAAAATTATATATTGGCATTAATGTCTTTTCTTTGCTTGGCGCTGGTACTCCTCCTCATGTCTCTATCCAGTTAGTCCAGTCCTCTTAGTCCAGTAGTCCTCAAGCACAGCAGTATTCCATTTTCTCTGATACAGCAGTTTCATTCGTGAAATGCTCTGTTGGAGTTACTCTCCACATTCATCACAGCACCACAGTTGTTGGTGGAGGAGTTCAGGTGAGAATGCAGCAAATGGAGTTCAGTGACACGTTGCAGCCTAATTGATATTACTTCTCCAGAAGATTATTCGCAACATGATCATAGTTGTTAGCACTTCAATTTCCCTAAAAGCCATTCACAACGTCTTTAAATGCTTCCCATATTGCTTTTTCACATCCATGGAGAACTTTATCAAAGTTAGAATCTTTGTAAGAAGGTGACAGGTCTTTGGCCCATTGAATAAGCCTTCTTTAAATTGTATTTTACTCCAAATATAAAGTTATTAAACCACTTACTTCACAACATGCAACAAGAATATTTTCCTTTCTAAAGTACAGTCGACTCGTAGTGAACTTTTGGGTACTAACATTTTTGCTTCACTATGTCAAAATTAAATATAATTCCTCCAGAATTATTGATTTTATTAGTACAGGGACAGCAAAATACATTTACAACATGAACTGAAAATTTCAATATCTTTATTTAACCTTAAAAATGCAATTAGGTATATTTTTGATTATTTCCTTTATACGTTTGTCATTTATAATTTCTATCCTGTGAAGATAAAGGATGAGGTGTTTTATATCTTCCATGGTTTTCATCTACATCTGGCTGCTAAGTGTATTCTTCCAGAGGGAGTGTACAGGCAGACCATGTAGTCTAACAGCTAAACAGATGAGGGTGCTCTACAACCTGCCTCTTTTTTCGGGACATGCCATCCTGGAAGAGATATCGTGCAGAAATAAGACTTGTCCAGATCTCTTAATTGCATCCCAAAATAGTGGTGATGTGCTATCACCACACTATATACATTACACAAATTATCAGGAGAGTTTTAACAATTATAAGGCATTGAGGATTCTATGTGAATTGCAATACAAACATGAAACTTAATTATTCAAAATAAATGGTATGTTACGTTTACCCTAAAATAAAGTCGATCTAATTCAGTACATGAAACAAGCTATTCAGAGCTATATAAAGTTATAAAAATTACCCCTAACCCAACACTGCTATGCTCAATGTGCCAACACTATTTCCAGGTGTTCAATTTCGTAAAAATTCCTTGTAACCTTCATGGGCTATTCTTAAGAACCAAGAGTTTATTGAAAGTTTTAAAATCATTTTTGTTTTTTCTGTTATCAAATTGACGAGAAATGGCCATTTTTGAGCTGGAAATATTTTCAGTTGATGATATTTTCAACTTTCTTAAATAGCTGAAAATCATTGATATTGTTTTTGAGGTGCCATTCATTTAAAATATGATGCTATTTATCACGGGTGCTTGATAGATTTTGAGTTATTACAATGTCTTTGACTGTGAGTAAAAGAAAATTGTGACTAATCACTCAAAAACAGAAAATTTAGAATTCATTTTGGAAGTATTTGCAGTAATTTAGGTTTTAGTAGAATGTAGTTTAATACATTGCTATGCTGTGAAGATATATTGGTCTCTATTTTACATAAAAATGAGTTTTCTTTTTAAATTCAAATATTGATGTGAGAAAGTCAATATATTTTCATTAGCAGTGCTTGCAATTGAATTATGTTTTTTATTTAAATGAATGCACATGTGTATATTATTTCATTAATATAAGGTATATTAGTTAATTAAGTTAGCAAATTTGTCAAAAAATCAATAAAATCAAAATTTAAGCTCTTAGCTTTGGAGGCCTCCTGTTGCTCTTGTACAGTATCACTGTGGCCCCTCCATTGGTCTTGCACTATGGTATTGGTAGGGTTAATTGCATTGTGAATAGCATTGAACTAAGTTTAGAAAAAAACAATATTTAAATGCATATTTAGGGCTAACACTTTGTATTGTACAGTGTCCTTGGTTTTTCTCAGTTTTCCTAAGTATTTGTTCAAAATTTGGGACCGAGTGGTCCTTTGGTTCAACATTTTTGTTCTTTACACACAGATATGTGAGCAGCCAGATCCAAAATGTACTTAAGTCGTTGCCGTATGTGCATAGAATGTGATAATGGGACACTTGTATCAGAATAAATTTTTCATTAAGTCAGCAAAAATAGTAAATACTTATGTAAAGGTTCTGATGTAACAAGAAATAGCAATAAATAGCAATATATCATAATAGAAATTCTGACAATGAGTTGTTTTATTTTTCAAGAAATTTTTCAAACCTGCAATCTGCAACATTCGTAACAATCTTGGAGGTGACAGCATCACAGATGAACATGTTCGGATTGTGTGCTGTAGCATACTTGAAGATGCCAAACAGATGTATTGTTGTCCCAGCCAAGAACCTGCAAGTCAATGTCCAGATGTTCAGCTAGAGGATCAGAGCCCTAATGTGTGCTCTACAGAATATAAATTTGCAGTTCCCAGCTCAGAGGTAAATTTGTTTTATTATTCTGTTCATTACATATTAGTTTATGTCACTAAAATAACTAAGGCTGAAGTTGCCCTTCAGAGAGATGGTTAACATGATGGATAAGTTGTTATTTATTTTTGTAAACTATTGAAAGGCTGAATTTTTTCTCCAATTTCAGAGTCCAGTTTTAAGTGTCAGAAGAGATCTAGATCAAAATTTGGATAGCATTCGCAGAAGGAAAAATAAGACTCAGGTTCTCCAGCTTCCTCAAGTTGTCCAAAGTCCTTCCCCTCCACTTCGTGTTGGTCAGTCTCACATTCTCACTCAACGCTTTTTGATATCACCTACTCCAATAAATACTTCACAAAATGGAAAGTTGAAAGATGAAAACTCCTCATTATCTCAGCAAACTTTTGTTCCCACACAGAATCAAGGCCTTCCTATTCGTACTATTCCTAAAAATAAAGTTTCCACACCCACACACTCATTTGTTACTTCTTCAGTATCTCACAGTTCTCAGAGCAATAGGTCTAGATCTAAAGGAAGACATGAGTCTGCATCTACACAACTGTCTCATACCTTCCTTGCTCCTGCTTCACCCGACAGTCTACCATCTGGTCGTAGCACTCCTGTAAATAAAGGGCGTAACACTCCCATAATAAGGGAAGGACCAAAATGGGATCCTAACAGAATTGTGAAGTCTACAAAGTTTGTAATGGGAGCCAGGTATGTGAACATGTTAACAATTGATCATTTTAATAGTGATGTGGATCAGTTACGAAAAATATTTCAATCCATGCATTTTTCTTATTGTAGAGCCAATAAAGTCTTAGGGTTTTGCCAGACTAGAGGCCGTTTGTACATCAAGCATCCTGAGTTGTTCCGATATTCAGGAGATCAGGAAGATAAAGAATGGTTGGCTCGGAAGAATCTGATGCCACCATCTGGAGGGAAGGCATATCTGATGGTTGTTGATGATATAAGAGAATTGGCTGAATCTGAAGAGTACAGGTACTGTGACTTGATATATTTGTATTTGACTTATATCTTCTGCTTTGAAATTTACAGTAAAACAAAAATTCGAAGTAAAACATACCTGTACTTTGCCTATAGTAGATAAATAGAAGAACGTAAAACCTGTTATTTCTTTTGAAACAGAACGCTTTATCAGTTCTGCCATTAACAAGAATGATTTTTCTTAAAAATCCATGGTCTGTGTTTAGGTGAAATGTTAAAAATACATTGGGATTCTTTATGAACAATGAAATGGGTAATAAAATGATATCATCTATTTTATGTCTGTAATGCTTGAATGTTGTGAAGGCTTTAACATTTTTTTCTAATGTATTTTATGAGTGATGTCATAATCATAAGAGAGGGAGTCTTAATTGTTTCTCGAGCATTAAACATTTGCCTATTTTGAGAGATGCTTTTTAAGGGCTGTAATTACAAATTAAGTAAACATTTTTAATTTGTAAGATCTGTTATATTTTGTAAAATTTTGTTTTTACTGTGTTTCTGTGACTAAATATACTACATTATAAAAAACTTAGCTCTGGATAGACCTATACCTCACTTTCGACAAGAATAAGATTATCCTAATAATATATTCACCATATTGATTATTATATTTTATGCGTATGGTGGTACTGATGTAACAAATGGCACCAAACTAGAAAGACAGCTGTCACTGCTTTACATGTGACAGGGATTGTTGGATTGAAACCTTCATCTTTTTATTTCCCAGAATGAACTTGATTCTAGAGCCAAACCTATCTATTTAATTCACATGTAGCAAATAATACAGAATCTACTTGAGCTATGCCAATTTTTTAATTAACTGGATTGTTGTGTTTCTACTACTACAATTTTATTCTCTAGTACTGTATATTCAACTCCCAAAGTATTATTGGAAAAATATATGTTAACGAATGGACTGCAACAGTAGAAATGCTATAGAACAATACCATCCAGAATCCAAAAAGTAACTCAAACATTGCTCAAGAACAACCAATAAAACACACTTGTATAACTCTACAATAAATTAAATAGATAAGATAGCAAATACGTAATGGAGGGTGGCCTCTTCCTTCCAGTCTTGCTCTTGCATGACATAGTCGGTGCTAAAAGCAGTAAAACACTGAATATGAATGTGTGTGCTTGATGTATGAGAGCACACAATAAAATATTTGCATTTTTTAGTCAAAATCAATTTTTTTTTAATTTTTTAATTTTTTCCATGTTCCTGGTACCTTAACCCTTTCACATGGCTGTAGGCTACAAGGTTTTCTTTTGTTTTGTGCGCTTATTGGAAATTGGTAAATATAGATTTCCTAGATGTGCTAGGTCCAATTTTTAATAATGTATAAATATTTAAGTTATAAAATAATGAACGGACGTTAACAGCAAAACATTCAACTGTAAACTAGATTAGACATTTTAACATTTTCCCCCCATGTTAGTCAGTTTTATCAATACAAAAAAAACTTCTGAAAAGTCAGAGAATATATCTGTGATCTTTGGTTAGAACATAACTCCAAAATCACATTCAGGTACATATTCTTGCTATTCCATACCGTTATTTTTTTTTAACCTCTTGGAAACTAACTTAGCAGTTTTGATTCTTGAAGTACAAATGGTCTCTGAAGTACTTTTTTTGAATTTCATCAAGTTCGTTTCCCATCCTTTTAAAAATATAATTATGTGGAAGCGTCAAAGTGGCATGTAACCATATTGTAATGTTATCAGTGTCATTTTGAAGTTTAAATTACACAAATTTAGCTATTCAAAACATATGTTATATGTGTCAACAAATGTTTGTTAAAAGGCAGTATAAATCTTTTGTTTTGACTTTTGCAATTTCCCATTGTCAGATGATGTGAGAAACATGGTTTTGGCTTGTGGTATTTTTTGACATTGCAAGGGAAATTCTAATTTCCTCAGAATTCTAATTTTTCTTGTTTATTAAATTTATATTCTGTTTCATTAAGTTTATTTTTCTGACCGTAGGTGTAAATATTATGGATTGTAGTATCTTTTAATTATAGACAGTCAAATTCATAATAATTTTTTATTACATGGCACATGATGTCAGTGACTGTTGTTTACTTTGTCATATTGAATACAGCTTCTTTACTTCTTTATATAATTCAATCTTAATGAAATTCAAAAATTCTCAATGAGAGTTTAGCCTGATAATAAATTAAGATTAGATGACTCTGAATTTCTGTTCATTTTTAATTTAATTTATACAAAATGTATCTATTCAAATTTATTGTTATTTATTTCATTGTTACTATTTTAGCTGTAACCTGACGAAGCAGACACATCAGGTTGAAATGTTGTTTCATGTAATGTAATTAAAAATTATAATGAATTTGACTGTATGTAATTTTATCAAGATACTGTACTAAGATTCCAAAATAGTTATTGAAAATAACCAAGGCATAACACAGCAGATGAAGATCAACAAAGGTCTAAACAAGGATGCTCATGCTCACCACTACTCTTCAACATTTACTTAAATCATATGATAAAAAAATGGAAACATATAGATAACATAACCAGAAATTAGTGACAATATTAACTGCAGACGACCAAGTTGTAGCAAACTCAAAAGACACACACTACAGGAAGGCTTCAAGTGAAGCAAAATAAGCAAAGAATATCAAGCTAGAAAAATGAAATTCTAGCCTTCTACGGCAAAGAACATCTTAGAACCAAAATAGTAATAGAGAATTCAATAATTGAACAAGTTACCAGTTTTAAACATCTCAATAAAAAAGGATATTGAAGAAAAAATATAATCGAAACAATGGAAAAATAGAGACATTTTGGACATTAAAAAAAAGAAGACAAAAACAATGATGAGAATCCATAAAATGACATCAAAACCAACGCTAAAGTATGATTTAGAAGTGTGGAAAATTGGTATAAAGGAAACCAGAAAAATAGACGCAGCTCAAATGAAGTTTCTAAGGGCAGTATTAGGAGTAGCAAGAAGGGACAAAATTAAAAATAAAACAATTAGGAAAGAACTAAAAAGCAGGACACTGAGCAGAAGAAATGAAAAATTACTGCAAAGGAGTAAAGGAAATAGAGAAAATGGGTGAAAAGAATGGGCAATCATCATCTACCAGGGATGGTATTACATTTTAGACCAAATGACATGAGGGATGGAGGCTGACCGGCAAGTGTGGTTGGGGTGGGGGCTGGTGGTGGTGGTGGTGGTGGTGGTGGTATGATAATGATGATGATGATGATGAATGATGACTGTATGTAATTAAAAGATACTGTAATCCATAATATATTATGTTCCTCCAAAATCTTATTACTTCTTAGTGCTAAGTCAATATAATTGTGCCTCTCTTCCATGAGCACCCTTGAGTGTCACCATTGTGCGAAACTTACGTTATTTGAGAGAGCACTTTAAAAAAATGGAAATCCTGTTTGTACAGAAATTTTATTTCTTTTGAAACTAAACTCGTAAACTCAATTTGTTTATTGTAAATTGTGACTTATGGAGAAAAAGGACAATTTGTGCCTATTTTGTGAAACTCCAGAATCCCTACCCCTACCTTTTACGATACATAGGTAAATGATGTAGGGGAGAAACAAAAGTGTGGTTAACAACATTTGACAACTATAAATTTCACTCTCAAATATTAGCAGAACTTATGTGCATCAGTAAATGAACTACAGATTTTATTTTATAGTATTGCTAATATAACAGCAACCCACACCCTAATCCTACCGCAAGTGGAAAAAGGCGAGTGCTCAGAATTTGCTCAATGGATCAAGAGAAAATCAATGAAAAATCTGATCAAGATCGATTTAAGTTACAATTAAAAGCTGTTTTCAGGAAGATAATTTCTCATTCTTCCTCCAGTGGATATGTAATCTTCAGAAAATAGTCATGTTGAAACATTTCGTGTCATTATGCCTTTCCATAAGTTTTTGTGAAAATATGTTTTGGGTGTTTAATAAACTCCTATTTTAAACATGAAAAGTAATAAATAAATTTTGCAATAAATGGGAAGAAATCTTCAGATAAGAGAAGGTTTGAAATGAATGTTTTTCGTGTTACCTCTATATTTTGAAATCTGGCTAAAGATTTGTGAGAAAATTTGATTAAAATGAAGTAAAAACTTAATGGAATGAATTCAAATATTAGGCCAGAGAATTATTCAAACTCTGAATTGAAAGCGAAGATAAGGTTTAGCATTTTGGTTTAGGGATAACAAATTTCCTTGAAGTTCATGTAGTGTTTTCCATTTCAAATTTTAATTTCCATTTCCAGAAGGAGACACTTTTTGGTTTTTCTTCTTTTTTAAAAAAGAATGGATCATTATCTTCTTCTGATTTTGTTTTGTATCATAATGAAATTTCAAGCCTTGAAAATTCATTGATAATTAGATGCAGTCAAGTGACCACGTTTAGCCAACCTCCACTTGGTTACCTGTCTTTGCTCTTCTTCTTGATATAGTCATAGAAGTTCAAGGAAGTAGAAAAACAGAGAAACAGAATTACGCAAAACTCTTTGTGAATGATAAGAGCATAAAGCAAATACAAATACATGTGAATTTGTAATATGTATAAAATGATCTTAGGGAAGATTTGTAATAAAAGAACAAAGGAGATTTTGGATAGTGAAAATTTTTACCTACTCTGCCACTTTATTGCAGTGAAATAAATATTTGTAATTACTTGTTCTAGTGAGTTAGTATCAGAGACTTATGGGCCAAGAAAATGAGTGTTTTCACTTCTAGTTCTTTAATGAATGTAATCAAAAATTGTATTTTAGAAATTCCCTTATCAATATTACATTAGAAAGATAAAAATTCGTTTATTTTTTTTTAACGACGTCAGAGTACAAGAAAATGTTGCATGTACGCAACTTTGAGACCTCAGGGTATGTGAATTCATCTTGACATGAAACAACTGAAAACCGTTTGATTGGTGATGAACATTGCATTTTGTACATTTGTAAACTGCAGGGTTTTTGCACAAACTGCACCACTTTCTGGCTTTTGTTTCTCCCTTAATAAGCATATACTCTTCATCATGACTGAGTAGCTGATGATTCCGAACACGTCAACCGCTAGGTTTATTAGTCATGTAAATGTAATGCATGTTTTTTAGCACGGGAGGTGGTGGCTATTCTCCCACTAGCAGGGCACAGCCTCTGCTGAAACCAGCTCTTAACTCCCGACCGGTCGCCCAGCAAGTGTGGTTGTGTACTACAAGTATGAGTGTAAGTGTAAGAGTGTGTAAGTAATCGGTGAGGATATGACAATGACGATCATGGTCCGTGGCCTGTTTGTCAAGCCGGAATTTGCTGGTTATTGATTGGAGAAACCGAAGAAAATCACTGATGAGAGCAGCCAACCTCAAGTATTTTTCTCTGGACTGTGGCTGAACTCAACCTATCTACGTAGCTAGTGTCAAAAATCCTGCCATTGTCGGGACTCGAACTCTAAGGACCTCATGGTCAGAGGCCCTGCAGTGACAAATTTATGCCTTGAGCCACCTCCGCCGATATCCATACTTCATCATCGTGTACTTCTTTAGGGAGGGAAGTGTTTGTGGGTCAACCAAAATAGGATTTTTCAGTCTCTCGTGTATTTATTTACTCATTATTGCTTTCACTGCCTTGTGCACAGACCTCATTAGTCATAGCTAAGTAAGATCAAAATAATAGTTGTGGGATCTTTTCTTCTTCATTCACAGTATTATATATTTTCCATGAGTTGACAATTATTTAGTCAATCAGCTTTTCTTCTTCTACTTCTTTTTCCTCCAGATGATAATGTATATTTTCCTTATCTGTCATTTTGTCAATGTAAGGATGAATGTACACTGCATCAATCATATTTGCTGAAATAAGGTCAACATCTTCCTCCAGAAATTCATTCAGCAGTTAATAGAAACTTTTATTTTCTGTCATCCTTTCTGAAATACACAGAATTTTTGGACAAAATAAACTTGAAGCATTGTTTTACAATGATGCAGCAATGATGATGAGATAATTGTAATGAGAACTGAAATATGAAATGGTAATTACATGTCTATTATTCTATGATTACATTCCAATTGCATTTGTTCTATCAAGTTCGTACCCTATACTCACTAACCACAAAGTTGCGAAAATGCAACGTTATTGTAAATTATCAATAGTAAGCTATGTAAGGACTTATGTGCATAATAAATATTTTGAAATAATAAAAGAAGATTTTCTAGTAATATACAGTAAAAAAAACTATTTTTTTACAATAAAATTATATGAATTAAAAGTGTAACGGCTGATGAAATAGCATTTCATCTTAGTGCAATAGTGATACAGAACGATTTTATATTGAATCTTTTTCTAAATAAATATAAGTATTAAATGTTGCATTAGCGCAATGTTGGTACTTACTGGGTTAATGGTAAATTGAATATCTCTTTTTTCTAGTTTAAGTCTAGTTTCTCCATGTGGTGTTCTATGTTGATAAACATGTAGGGTTTTGTGATAGTAAAAATATGAGCAAGAAGTGGTATAAAATCTTCCAAAACAAAATGTTTATGAATCTGTTACAGAAACAACCCCAATTTAATGCTGCATGAATTGGTTGGGTTTGAAGTACCCGAATTCATTTTGAAGAAAATACGTGCCTTCATGAGTCAGATGAGAACTGATGCTCCTGAAAAGCTTCCCAGCCATCAGGATATTCACATGAGTAATACTCTTGATGCAAATTTTACAACGGTATGTGTGAATTTTGCTTGTTTCTATAATTATAATTATCGACCAATTATTTTAGAAATACATGATGTTGCAATTTAAGTTTAAAAAGCATAAATGAGATTTGTATTTTAAATTTCATTTGATTCTTCAAGTATTTTATTTTAACGTGTTAGTTTGTATAAAGGCCACACTGTTTTTTTGACATGGTGTTCATAGAAGAGAAACAGTATACAAATATGTTTGTGAACTAATGGAGACTGTGAAAGTGTCATGGTTTATCATCATAATCTCGGCAAACTTGTGTGTCAATTAAAATTTTAAGTCATTAGATGATGTAAAACTGTAGAACAGTTGTAAAAAAGAGAATTGACATTGCATGTTTTCAGTACAATGTAATTCCTTTTCTTTTAGACCACTCTTGGAACTAATGAAAAAATGTTAAAATGTGTGGAAATTAATGTTTTGCTCTGATTTTGTTCCATAACAGCAGGATCTTCAAGCATTTCTCTATCGAGAACACAACAGCTTTGCTTATTAAATGCTCTCTAAATATTTCAAGGCATGGATGATGCTCGCGTCCAATCGCTGTGGTTGAAAAGCACAGTTTGGTGGCAAAAATACTTATATGTTTCTCAGACCATTGTTTTTTTTTAAACAGCACACCAATCAAATGCAGTTTTTGCAACAGGTTTGCAGTTTTTGGCCCCATATGCCTATTTTAATTGTGAGAGAAATTCTTTGGAAATTATTAAAGTCCAGAGTGCTTTTGCCTTGAATATGTTTTGAAGATTCAGACTTTTTTTAACATCGCAGGTTTTGAAACTTGCTGATGACTATTGGTGGCAGTTTTTGTTTCCAGTGGCATTGCATACCAGTTGCATGTCAGTCTTTTAATTAATTTAATGTCACCATGCCACAGACACCATCTCTTTTGAATGCCACACACTCTTGATGGCTTGGTTTATCCGCAAATCTCATAATGCAAGTTATTCAACTAATAACATAAGGCATTCACCAAGAAAGTCCATAGCAAATAGTAAAACATGCAATGGTTAAGAACATCCCTGTCCCTGAAACCTTTTATGATAATCATCATCATTCTTTCAGTTTGTGTAAGTTAATCACTATTCTGCTGTGATATACATATTAAAATCTAGTGTTTACAACAGGTCTGCAAAAGTGGAATAAATGTACAGATATGAAAAGTAAAATCAAGAAAAGTTTTACATTATAATGTTTCACTGGGACTTATCGTTTATATGGTAAATTCCAGGAAATTGTTCAATAAATTATCGTAATATCTATCTTTTACTGGAGTAATAATCTGCCCAAAGTTGTGTCTGAGTCTCAACACATCTCTGGAGTACCAACTACTGAGGCATACTAGGCCAAAACTGTCTAGGCACCCATCAGCTCCATGAGTGATGCACTTTGCTCCTCATTCATACCTTCACTCGGCTCCATCCATATCCTCAGCCACTACCCTATTGCACCTGCCAACATCTATGATGATTTTAAAAGCTACAAATTTCTCAGACAATGACTGAGAATTAAACCCTGGCCATTGCACTTTGGAATGCGAGCATGCTAGGGAAAGGCTAGCAGGGGCTCAATTTTTCATATAGATTTTCATATTCTTAGATTCTTTTTGAAAGGTGCTGTAATATTTCATTGGATATCGATTCAATAAAGTAAACTGCAATAAAGTAAAAATATTTTTATTTGGTAAATATAATTTGAGAATCTTATTAAGCATATTTATTTATTTAATACATAAAATTATTCTTTTTTGATACATAAAATTATCTTTTTTGATACCAGTGGTTTTAGATTTTAATGTTTGCACTGTAAATTCTCAAAGCTTTAACAAGTGTGAGGGTGCTTGCAAATTTATCCCAAATCTTAACCTTCCGAAAGTTTTTCAATACCACACTTTTTTAGAAGTGAATACAACAGTTAGAATGAGGGTGTGTAATGTCCTTCTGGAACCAAGAAACGTGTTTTTTCAAGTTTAAATATAACCAAGAACTAAGTTTCTTTAAGTTTTATATAGTTTTGTTAAGTTATTTACATACATACATACATATATATATGTATATCTAAAACACACAGTTTTTTAAGTAATTGATGTGATGTCTTTATTTTTTTTAAAATTTAATTACAATTCAACTGTGTTTGTATTTATTGTGTAATGAGGTTCAAAGATGAAGATTTGTATAGTTTGTTACTATAGTGCTATTGTCACTACTGTGCATTCTGTTTGTATTTCAGTATTGTTTTCAATTGTAGAATAAAACTAGTTTATAATGTTCAGCAAACTTAGACATTCTATGATTGTTGCTCTTAGGAAAAGTATCCTTTAATACCCTGGGAGAGTTTGAATCTTGTTCTTTTTAAGCAGTATTCCTTTTGTGATTGTGAACTGAATTACTTCATTATTAAATAAAATGATAGGCATGGCCAGGAAACAATTTTAACCGATTTATTAAATATGTAAAGATTTGTAATTGAGTAACACTATTGTATTATTGTGCTCATGGAATTAAGTTATGATGTCCCTAATAATAGATATCACAACATGTTGTAAATATCTATGTGCAGATGCAGGATCATTTAGATCTTGGGATAAGCAGCTTGTCTCCTGTGGCATCTCACACTGTTGTGTCCACTGCTTTGGTATCGCCTTCAGTGATGGCTGGAGGCCATCCCGTCAGTGTTCTTGATTCAGGTAAGAAAGTTTCATGGATAGAACAAGAATAAATCCTTGAAGATATTGTGATAAAAATTAATTTCTTACTTAAGCAGCTCTTTTGGGGATGTTTTTATTTTAATTTCATTTAATAAATTTAGTGTGGGAATTCAAAGAATTTTTATTAAGTCAGTCAGTCAAGAAGTAATTTTGTGTTTTGTAGTTGAGTAAAGTTAATTACAGTTATTATGTAAAGCAAATTATTTGATTAAGTGTTATAACTTAACATAAAATTTATTTGAATATAAACAAATATAATTTTATAATTATTATTTTGTTGATGTTGTTATATTTTTATTTGGACACTTCTCCCAGAAATCCTGGAGGGATGTTTGTCTCCTGCTAGGGCTGGGAAGGGAATATAAAACAAAATTCACATTTTTTATGGAGAAAATGTAATTTTATTCCCTTATAACTTTCTCGTAATTTTGGCAGTGTTCAGGTTTTTGTTTGTGTATGTGTTTAGAGAGTACTTCAAAGTAGTGAGATTTTTTATCCCTTGAAAATCATATAGATTGTGTAAGTGAAATATTCAGTAAAATTATTTCTTTAAATAATGTTACTTATGTATTCATATTTTTTATGTATAGATTCTATTTTTGTGTGTTCTGTTGATTGGCATCTTTGACAGAATTGTGATAACTGCCTTGGCTTTAATAGGTGATGGCTTTGTCATAGTCTGTGAAGATCACCCATTAACAAGCACATGTACACATGCCCATGCAAAATTCATAATTTTGTTACAAAAGTATTTTGATAAAATAATGATAGGCTTTGTAATCATTCGATAATTGCTATCAAAAGTCACTAAGCTAGTAGCTAAACCCTTACATAATTTTATTTTACTTAACACAGTTTTACTTGTGAAATCACAGGGCCTCAATCTCCAGAAACTTTGGAGCTTTTGGATTCTCCAACTCTTGCAGCGGCTCTTGGATCTGATCCCTTTGAAGATTTGGAGCCATTTGATGGAGATCTACCTCTTGATGAGGACATGCCACTGGATGGAGAGCTTCCATTGGATGGAGATTTGCCTCTTGACGGGGACCTACCTTTGGATGGAGATCTGTCTTTGGACAGTGATCTACCCTTGGATAACCTCACATTTGAAGGTATCCTGCGACTACAGGATGTGAGTCTGGGATCTGACAACAATTTACTTACTGGATCCCAAGAGTTGATGGATACCTTCACGATCAGTACATCTGATACATTGGCTTGGTCACCAGATGGTGACACTAGCCAGTCATCTCTGCCCATACTTTTGGCAGGGCACATCAGCAATGAGTATACACAGGAAGGTATTGTATAGAAGCCATGCCCTCCTAAGCATGAGTCACAGGCCGTAAACACCCCTTTCTCTGTTTCAAAGCGCTTATATTTAAGAATAAATAATATATAAAAATGTTAGTGACAGGGAAGACACTATCCCCCATTACGCCAAAAATCCAGGTTATGTCCCCAGTATCACCAGGCAATGTGAAGGTTTTTAGCCTGGGAGTAAATGCCGTCCTTTGGAAGGGACGTTAAACCATGATTCCCTTGGTACTGCAAGATAGTAGCAGGCTACGAGACTGTACCAGGTGACACCTCCTTCCTTACGGGTTGTGAAAGTTTAAGGAAAGAAAAATCATAGGAGCAAATGACTGTCACAGTTGACGCTCCTTTACATACAGTTTTTCTCTTTCTCTTGAAACCTCTGTCCTTCCTCCTCTCAACATCCCTCTCCTAGTATGTTTTGCAGTCCTTTGTCAAGTGTGTTCTGAAGTGCAGCTTGGTTCAAACAATGTCTTTCAATGAATGAAAATGACAATTGGTTCACGTACTGGTTTGTGTATATTTACAAAACATTACAATTTTGCTCATCCTCTTAGTGAATATTAGAGAATGTAAATATTTAATGTTAAAATAGGCCTAATTGGATTGAAACAGTTTCGTTAAATGTTGAAATAATTCCAGCAAAAAGGTATCCTTCCTTGGTGTGTAAGTAGGGCATTAATACTGGCAAGGAAATATAACATAATGTGATGTATAAGAGTGCCCTGTTGCTAAAGAAGATAAAAGTCTTACTTATAGTCCAAGTTGGCATATCTGCTTGGATTATTTCCAAGTAAAATAAGTATTTATGTATTTTTAAAAGTCCTTACAAAAAAAAAAAACTTGTCAACAAGGTGACAAAGGTGGGTTAAGGCCTAAACTTGAAGTACAAAGTCAGCACGAGCCAAAGAGGTCATGAGAACAAGCACTGTGCGCGTTGTTAATTACACTGAATGATGCTGTGTGTAATGTTAGGGAACATTCATGTATAGTTGGATAAAAGCATTTGAGTAGTAGTGTGGGAGGGTTTAGTCAAGATGATCATTATAGAAGCTAGTCATTTTACTCAGTAGCTTGTTTAGAATATGCTTTTATTACAAAAAAAGCACAACTAAAGGGAAAAAAAAGGAAGATCACTGCCTATGTGTTTGAAATACTATACTAGCTACCACTTAACTTGGCGGCTCAAGGTTGTGGCTTAGCCTAAGTAATTGTCCCCTCACCTTCTATTGCCCTTGTAGAGGGCTTTTGTTGCATTGTTCTTGATATGGTGCATATTCAACCTCTTAAATGTTTATGCAGAGGAAATGAATTTTGGGAGGTTCACTTACTTTGAGAAGTCCTCCTGAAGCATTTTGAGCCCTCAAGTTTTGTGGCCTTTGCTCTAGATGATACGAATACACAAAAAGGTGCACTCATGCCTGAAAGGAAGAGGGTAACTGAAAGATGTGTAATATTAACTGTCTTATTGTGATTGAAAAACATTTCCTCATAAGTATGGTTGTAATATGTAAGATAATGTAAGATGTGCCATATCAGTTATGAGATATTGGGAGGATACTCCAAATTGTAGAGCTTAAAGAGGGAATAAATTCATTGTAAAGTTTGTTGTTACACTTTTGGGTTGTGTCCTTAGTGTTGATTTTATGTAAGATGTTCATTGCTGTCTAGGTGGGTACTGCATTGAAGGTTGTGACTCGCCTAAATGCCTGTGTGGCTTTGTGTTGGTGTATTGCTGATGTACCCCCAAAACTTCTGATATGTTACATGTTTTATGTTAAATAAGTAGAAATTATAATGAAGATGTTATCTGGTTGATATGCGTATGTAACCTAGCTGTGTTATTTACAAGACCTGATCTATATATGCTCTGTGCCAAATATTTTTTCCCTCCAAGTTTCTCAGTTTTTGAAACTTTACCCTTTACAGTTTGCTCAATATTTTATGGATTGGAGATGTATTGTGAGCAGAAGTTGTTGTAAGACAATCATCATCATTACTTTCATCATTGTCATCGCTATCATGATTATTGGTCTCCATTTCAAGGTTTATGGGTGTGGGCTTAGACGAGCACTCTTCGTAGGATCGCTCCTCTTATAACTGACTTTCTTAAGAATAGCTTTCACAAAAGTGTGGGCTTCTGAAAGGAAAAGATTCTCCTGTTGTAATGTGACTTCTAGTCTTCTCTTGAGTCTTGTACTCTCAAAGCAATAATGTATCCACTTTGGGCTTTGTGGCCTAACTTGTTTTTACTTCTCTGTTTAGCTATCAGTTTGTAGCTGTCTCCCGTCTTCCATGTCCCTGTAGGTCGTGTTCTATTTACAGCAGCGTGCCCATAAAAGAGAATATGAAAGTTGTGTTTATGAAGGACCAACTGCAAGAGACTACTAAAAGATTTAGAAATGGATGATGGGATTGGTAGTCAAGAGTGAAATTGTTTTCTTTCAAAACTGAAAGGTTGAGTACCATCATCATTCATTTCTTAATCTATAGTGTTTACTCATAAAATGACTGCACTTTTTTTTTCTTTGTTATATTGAGGAACATGTAGGTAAGTGAAAACAAGAGGGATATATGCAATAACATTCAGTGGCTTTTTTACTTATACATATTTTACATATTCTATAATATTGTGATTTTTCTGGGGTAGCAACAATGCTAAACATCTGTGCATATCACATACTTGTACAGAATGTGTTTGGGCAGCTATCTCAAAACAGATTTTATGCAATACTTCAAAGAATACTGATATTTGTATCCTTTAATGGCCTATAGATGGTTGTGGATTAGAATGTAATAGTGATGGAGGATTATATGAAAATCTCACTAGCTATTCTTGCAGATTTATTGGCACTGCCATGTCTTGAAACTGTAATTGTTTTTTTGGATCATGTATTTGAAAGCAAGGAAATGCAGTATGTGAAAAACTTCAGTTGCTTATTGGGCACGCTACTGTCTTATGATGTGCTCATGCTAGTGCAGGATTCTGCTGATATTGAAAGGGTTGAAGTCGTAATCATCCTTATCTGTTAGAGTAGTATAGAAGTAAAGCTGGAGTTTTCATGTATTTGATGTCATTCTTCTACGACCGATTCTGATGGATTTGATCTCTCAAGTGCTTTTGATCCAATTCTATGATGTGTGCCCCATTGTGTAACAGACATGGAATGTCAAGGTGTATCCCAGTTTTAATAGGTTTAGGAATAATGTGAGTACAATCATGTTTTTTAACTGTTGGCTGCCTGTTTGATGCTCATACCTTTTAAACCCCAGTTTTAAAATTAAGATATATTTCATATAGTAGACAATAGTGAGTGGACTCCATTTTTAGTCGGTACTTAATTTCTGTATTACAGTGTTTGTGCTTGTGATAACTTGAAATGGGACGGAGCACATTTATTTTTGTAATGTGTAGAGTTAAAAAACAGATCAAGAACGTACAAGTTGTACATGTGGCAATATTATGATTACTTGTAAATACATGTTGTTGTGATTTTACTATTTATTGGTAAATGCATGACAGTGTTGTTTTATTTTAAACTTTGAACCTACTGCACAACATATTTTCCATTTTTTGTTAGTTTGTAAGTAATGCCATTCCTCAAAATAAATTATTGAAGTGTTTGCTGTTGATTTTTAATTACCTTACTTTCCCCAATTTCCTTCCAGTCTTATTGATGAAATGCTAAGCTATGTAACAAAATATTCAGTTTTATCTTGATGTTCATGGTGTGTATAATCTTCAGGTGATAGGATTTGTAAAATTTAAATTTGAGCTAGATTCAAAAGAAGGTTTTGTTTAAGGAAAACTGAATACTAGTGGTTTAAATATTAATATTTTTTGCTCAATGTGGAAGAAAAATTGAATTAAAATTACAAATTTCCTTTAAAAATGTCTATGCTTTGGATTAGTATTAAAAAGACAATAATATGAGCAATTTAATGTTGCAGAAAAATCTATTACATCAAAGTGAAAGGATGACAAATTTTTGCATATTACTTTATGCCAAAGTGTGTCTTTTTGCATAAGATAAGTGTTATTCTATGACGCATGTCAACGTAATGTTCGTGTGCAAGGGTCCTTAGTGGAGTAGAGAGGAACAAAGCCAGGCGGGGTATAAATTCAATTGTATGCTAGAAAGAATTTCTTTCCCTGTGTAATAAGTGATTGTGAAAAACTCTTGGGCGACGTCAGATTGTTCCACTAGTATGCAATAAAGTATTGATAATTTTTACTTTCTTCTAGACTACTTACATAGTATAGCAAAAATATTGTAATGCTGCAACAAAAAACAGTGATTTCTCCACAAATACTCATGAGATCCTAATATCCAAAATGTGGATAAATCTTGTTCCTATCTGCAGTAAATTAACTCGTGTAACTCATAATTTGTTGCTCATAGAGAACAAAGGAAGCTTAAAAATATGGTGCAGGCTTCATTTTCATTAAAAAAATTTGAAAAATTGAAAAATTCATAATTTTTTTTGGCGTTTTCCTGAAGGCACAATATTGAAGATAGATATTATTTCCTTTGTTGTTGTTGAAAAAATGAGTAGTGTTTTCATAATTTTTGCTTGAAGTGAAGGCAATTTATAAAAAAAGCTCCATGTTACTTCTTTAAATGTTTTCCTTGAATAGAGCATAAGAAGCTTAAAAAATAGTGTAGGTTTCATTTTCGTTGGAGTCTGAGTTTTTGAAAATTGTATAAGTTGCAATCAATTTGAGAAAGTATGCTGTTGTAGCATCACTAGTTGACATCTCTAAAAGAACCTAATTAAAATTTTGTATGTAAATAAATCCATTTAGGCCCGTAATAATAAAAACACAAACTGGCAAGATGAACATCATGTAAATGAAAAAAACAATATTGGTTGTTGTTTTTTTAATTTATTGAAGGTCTCTTTTTAACTACAAAGATCATCAGTGACCACAATTAAGTAAACATCAATAGGTTACATTACAGATTGTATTATCAATTTTTCTATTATACTTTCTTTCTTAAGTCAATAATTTCTAGCAACTTCAGTACTTTAGCACACCCGTGGCTGAACAATTTATATAAGTTTGTGTCTAATTTCAGTAGTTTCTTTCCTCAATAATACTGGGGAATTCTAGGATAATTGTGTAGATATTGTTGTTCCACATTTAGGGCATGGTTCAGGGTTAGAATTTTTGAATAGGTAACAATATTTCAGGTAGAAGTGACCAATCCTTAGTCTAGTGATTGGTCTCTTCTTTTAAAGCAGAGTTCGGCAGAGCTGGATCCAGTATGGAGTTCCCAATTAGATCTAGTTTTGATGGTATTAATTTCCATTGTGATTCCCAATATTTGAAACAGGATGCCTTAAAGTGCTTTTTAATGTCTTTTGTAGTGACATGAACTTGAGAATCAAAACTTAGACATGATGTTGCCATTTCTGCAGATTTATCAGATGTATTGTTTGTGTGTTAACTTATTTCACTTTTAAGAGTTGAAAGCTAATGGTTTTCTTTATTCCTGCTCTTCAATGATACACTATTAAGCTGTGATATTGCAGAACTTTCATTAATAAATGAAACATTGCTAGTAGTCAACTCTTACCCTTGTGTTACAAATATCAACAACACAAATGATACATATCTTCATATGATATTAATTTAGGAAAACATCAAGATATGGTCATTTTTGTTAGTCCTCAAAGAGCTGGATTAATTGAGTACCTCCAGAAGGAGGAATCTCATTAATCGGGAAAAGTATTGTCAGTATTCAAAGTGTTCAATAGATTGTACAAATCATTAATTGTGTGAAATGCATCTTGTTGTGTCCCTTACACTCTTAAAATCTCTTATGTTTTATACTTAAGCAGTCAGGACCTCAAACTGTTGAAAAATAATGAAGCAAGATAAAACAAGAAAAATTGAAATATTAAATGGAAGATCAAAAGTAGTATTAAGTATAAACAGTAGTGCACACAACGGCCCATGGTATTTCAGCTCACCCTCTCCCCTCTCCAGAAGCTGATGACATGCTTTCAAAAACAGATTTTACTAATTTTCTGTTGCAAATCAAAAGAGTTAATAATGAAACATTTGTTATGGGAAAACATTTAAATTCTGTGGTGGTAGCAGATACCTTGTGGTAATCTCTAGAAAGTAATTACATACTCAATTTTTTTTACATAAAAATGTACATGGGCTGTAGCTACATTTACAGTATAATGAAACTTTTAAGTGTAAAGTTCAGATGAGGATTTACATGCTTTGGGAAACATTACTTTTGCCACACTTGAACTTTGAACAACTTGAAATATTTATAATTTTACATCTATAGACAATTTGAAATGTAAATGTACTAATACTATACTAATATAAATGTACTATAGAGATAGATATAGATATTTAAATATGTATTACATTTTTTTTTTTTAATTAATTAATTAATTAATTTTCTGACCCTTGGAAACTGTTGCCTTGGGGGGTTGTCCATTTAGTTTGGGTATGAATTTTTCTTTCGGAACAAGTATGAAAATATAACAAAAAATTCTTGTATAAACACTGAAACATGAAGTGAATGTCCAAGAAAGTATGTATATGAAAGAGTTTTCAAGTATCAACACAACTTAGTAATTTTATTCAAAATATTGATTGCTGAAAACTAAATTATATATATATATATATAATATTTATATATATATATATATATATATATATATTATATATATATATATATATACACACACACACACCACACAAAATAACCCTTTAATTAAGATAATTTAATTTTTAAATAAAATAATCAATTTTAAGATAATTTGGAGCCTAGTATGAATAATCTGTATGCAAATTAAGACAGTCTTAAACATGGAATTCTGTACATGCAAAATGTTTTCCTGTAATTAAAATTGTAAACTTTTGCTACATTAATGGTTTTCTTCTTTTGCTCCACTTCTGCAACCATCAGAGTAAATTTTAAAACATTTTAGCTGGTTATTTTTTTGTTGAAGGCATCTACCAACCCTTTTGTTAATATATTTTGAAAATCTATGTAATCCCAATGTCTGGTCCCAATTAATCTAGATTAAAAATGTTCTACTATGTTGTACTCAATGTTGTTCATTTATTTTTTTTAAAGTATATTAAATGGTTATCGAATATGCTTACAGTAGCAAATACTGTACAAAGAAAAATTAACATTGCTAACATTGATTTTATTTATCAAATATATAGAATTGTGTTATCTAATGTTGATGGTTGTGGTACAAAGAATATTTTACCAAACTGATATAGGAAAAATAAACCAATGTTACTGGAAAGATTGTAACAAAATCAAAAGTTTAATAAAATAAGTAGAGATAATTTACAATATATTGAAAATTCTCTTTGTGAGTTGCAGAGTAAGTAGTGAATATTTTGTTGAATAGTAGAATGAATATTTTATCAAATGGTAGGAAAGTGTCACATCTTAGTTACCCTGGAAACCCCATCAGCTCATGAGTTTGAAGACTGTTAATTTTTGAGACATGGAACTTCTAGTTACTCAACTAGGACTAGTAACTTTAACAAGGATAAATGAGAGATAATGTTAGAAATGAAATCAAGGTGATGCATGGAAGAAAGGATGAGTCATTCTTTCTGAGAAAAAAACATGTCCTGAAATGTTCTGGTCAATCAATACAAGGCAATGGCAAATAGACTGTCCTTGAATCTGCCCAAAGAATTATTAAATGCCATTAACATTTGTGGTCAGTAAGAACGGCAGTGGTGCTAACAATATTCCTTGTATGTTTTACCATAGGGGAAAGAACTCTTCCCTGGTTGGTTTTACCACTGTTAATAAAAACTGAAAAACTCCCATAATTCATATTTTTTCTTTTTGGTTGTAACTAAAAAAAATAAAAAAAATCCCCCAAAGTATTGGAACTTTAGGTTAAGTACATAATACTGCATCATCTGTATTAGTAAATACCTACATTACTATAGAATGTTAGAAGTTTGCACAAATTATTTTTATCTTCTATTGGACATTACTTTTTCTACTAGTTCAAAATCTTTAAATACAGAAAAAAATTACATTTTGACATTGACCATGTTCCTTTCAGGGTGCAATCTTTTTCTGTCCTTGTGCAGTTGTACAGGTCCCAACACTTCTTTAAGTATATCTTATATGCAAAGAGTTTAACTAAAGAAACTCAACTGAGAAATATTTAAGTAGGTATTATTAAAAATAATGAATATGTTTGTCCAGCTTTAAGAGAAAAAAAATCATAAGAATGACATAACTAACGACATACGTTATCAATAAATCACAATAAATAGGGAGCTAGAGTTTCCCCGAAAGACTTAAAACTGTCATAATAGAAATTTATTTCGCCAGGTAAAGAATTTTAATTAGTACTTGGCATGTTGTTTCATCTAATTATATTTTCATGTGTGTAATTGTTTTATAATGTTCGGCCTTGGTTCTTTACTAATGGTTGCGATCGTAGTTTGCCAACAACTATTTGGTGGAAAAAGCAATTATTGTAAACAATGACAAGTGTGATAGTTGACCATTTTTTTCCAAATTTTTCACCTAATCATTCCTATTATTTTCAACCAGCAACTGATGTACTGCATTTCCAACTAAGGGACCTTGAGGGACC